CCGGGCGCTGGCCCCGGGGCTGGGGAGGGACCCCGGGGGCCGGAGCCACGCCGGGCCTCCCCGCAGCCCTCGGGCAGTGCAGAAACGGAACGTGTATCGAGCTACCCGAGAGAGAGAAAAATACCCGTAGTGTGAAGAAAAAAAAAAAAAAAAATCTGGGCAGGCGTTCGGAAAACTAGAATTGCAAATAAGCCAAATACATTTTCCCTGCCGTGTCTGGGAGAAGTATGTCAGCGCTAGCCACATATGACAGGAAAAAAATCCATATTGCTGCATAAAGGAAAAATTAACGTTGCATTAAAATAAAATGCTGATTAAAATCTATTGCATAGCTTTCCTACAGAAAAAAAACAAAAAAAAAAAAAAACAAAAAAACACACCAAAAAACCACCACCAACGGTTTTGATCATGGAAGGAAGTGAACAGCAAGGCTTCCAGCCTGCCTATAAGCATACTGAAAAAGTACATAATAGACCAGTAGAAAAAAAAAAGAGCATGTCTGCACAAAGGCACAAAAATAGGATTACACTGGCAGCCCCTTTCTGACTTGCATCTTCCCACATCTCGTAACGCTGCACTTCAAACTGAATGTTCTTTGTATTTCATATAGAGATTAAGCAATTGTATGCATTTCCCGACATGAGTACTTCAGTATGTACACACACAAACACATCTTTACTTGCTGAAGTCAACACTGAGCAAGGCTAGGGATAAGTACGTGCAAGCCTGAGTTTGATACATTGTCTACTTTAGCTTTCAAACCACAGCATTTTCTGTTGGTAAATTTGCCTGTCGCTCCAAACCGAAATTCAAAGGATGCGGAATTTTGCGTGTAATGGACAGCTATGTCCAGCAACACAGCCTGCTTGTTTCTCTCACTGTCATCCTACCCCAAGCAGATTCGTTCTTTCTCTTCACAGTGACTGCTCACTTCTGAGGTTTCACCCCGAATGGCCTGGGCTCTGCTGCTGGGATTCCTGTTGCCAGACGCCCGTTGTATCCGTGGCCTTCTAAAAACCACTCTCCCAGTACAGAGCAGCAACAATAATGCTCTTATACAACTCAGCTATTTGTCACTCATAAGTCAATGGAAAATACTCCAGTCCTCTTGCCAAGAGATGATGTAGTGGCCTTCTGCACTTCTTATTGGGAAACCCAAGTTCAAGGTTCATCTTAATGGTTTGCGTCTTGTCAGCTATTTGCTTTGTTGTGGAAGTGTACATAGTCAGTGAGCTGTGAGGGACACAGAGGAGACGGTGTTTATGACACTGTCCACAGTTCTATCACTGTCACTAGTCCATAAAGTGTTTCCATACAAGCAGTAATGGTTGCTAATTTCTCATGGCTCCTTCTCCCTGTGCAATTCCCTTCATGCAAAAATTTGGACTACACGGAATTGTGCGTATATGCAAGAGGAGTAAGCTAGTGAATTGTTAAGTACAACAAATAAAGTAAAACCACTTCACCCCAAGTATATGCCTGTAACTTGGAGAAGTCAGTACCAGTTTTATAGGTAGGGATTTGACTACATCTACACTGGTTTGATTCTAAAACCACATTTACTGGTGGAATTAGGTCAAGTGTAGTGGCACCTGCCGCATGAAGGCCATACTAGCATGAATTGCATACTCCCCCAGCTGGAGAGATTCTTTCGAAGCAGATCATAGAAACCAAAAGTGACGCCTGAAGGAGGGATCCTCTGCTGCTTTATGTAAAGAAGGTTTCATCAGATATTGGGTAGTAGGATCAGATATGGATTCATCATATACCAAAGCTAAAATGGGTTATAGTTTTCGCTTTATGTTCAGAACTATCTTAACAACCTTTTTATTCATGTCCAAAGAGGAGTCAAATTCACTTTTGTCAGTGCTGTTTTTTTCTGTGTACCAGCCTTTCTTGCCTTTGCAGCTTCTCAGGTTGCTGTTAGTCTCAAAACCAAAAGCTAGTACTTTTTCAGTCCCTGTCCCATTGTGTTTTCCTCTTTTTAGGTATCTGCAATATATCTCCATGACTTGTGAATTATTAAGGTCAACAGCAGATTAGTTGTAGGGGTCTCTACTTCCCCGAATATCAATATTACACCAATATTAACCCCAACATGTGTTATTTACCTGACCTTTTTTTTGAAACGGCTTTTCCTGCTGTTGAGCTTGCATGGTCTTTAATGTGAGATGGCATTGTAAGAACTCAGCCTAGTTTCTGTTCAGCTGCACTGTTGTCATACCCAGGTACCTAATCACCAGTCAGAGCCAACACTAACATCTCTGTAACTGTACACCAGAGCTATAAACTTTAATAGTTTGGAGACACAGAGAAGCAAGATATGCCAGGATAACCTACTTAGTTATTAAATCAGTAGCATTTTTCACATCTGAACCACAAGAAATAATTTAATACTATAAAATGCTGAGCTGTGTCAAGAAGCAACAAGAGGGGGCTGCTCCAAAAGCAGAGGCAAGTTGGAAGATGAAGGCAACACCAAGGTAGGCAGGACAGTGGCCTCACCAACAGGTCCTCATCCCGTAGTACCCGAATGCAGGAAGAACAGGTCTGGGGATGATAACCAGAATCAAACAAGAGTCCAGCTCTCCAAATAGGTTCATAGTGAGGAGATAGATCTAAGGTCAAGCCAGGAAGTCGAGTCTGCAAATAGGGGTCAGGGTGAGTGAGGTGCAAGGTGAGGCACAAGCATAGCTGCGGTGGTAGCACAGGCAGAGACTGAGGGCAAGGGCTTGAGCTTAAATGCAACACTCACTCCTTAAATGCAGGGAGGCACCAACAATGTTTCTCCAAGCTCTTCCTCACACATCAAATGTCACCACTGCCTGACACAAGGTTACATGGCTGTGCCAGGCACAGGCAGCCAAACCCATAGGAGTGGGGAGAAGAGGCTGCAGAGCCTTTAGGTGCAGTCACAGCCATGACAAGCTGGTCAAAATGGAGACAGATATGAAGATTTTTAGCTTTAGCACTGACTGAAGGGGCAATAATGATAGTGTTTTCTGAGGTGAGAACTGCTGGGCTGAAAAAAGGATGTGAGTACAGATAGGTAAGGATTCATCTGGGAACTAATATCAATATTTT